GCCCAAAATCATTGGCAGCATTCTGCTCAAGTTCACGGCCATTTCGCCCCTGGCCGGCGACGCGGTGCACAAGACGCTCAAGGTGGTGCCCGAGGGCGTGACCCAGTATAAGAATCGCGCGTTCTTTGTTAACCTGAAGGATGTGCACGAGCACAAGGACAGCTTCGAGCTGGATCTGCCCGAGGAGCTGGTGCCGGACTCGCAGCATGTTGAATTTGGCTTTGTTGGAGATTTGCTGGGGCCGGTCATCAAGAATCTGGAGCAGCTGCTGCATCTGCCCAGCGGCTGCGGCGAGCAGACCATGTCCAAGCTGGTGCCCAACTATCTAGTGCACGATTATCTGCAGAGCATGAAGAAGCTAACACCCGAATTGGACAGCCGCATCAAGCGCAATCTGGAGCAGGGCTACCAGCATATGTTCCACTATCGCCACGACGACGGCAGCTACAGCTCCTTTGGACCTGGCAAGTGGCGCGACGAGGATCCGGAGCGCAACGGCTCCACCTGGCTGACGGCCTATGTGCTGCGCTCCTTCAGCCAGATCAGGAATCTCATCAAGCTGGACGAGAAACAGCTGGAGAGCGGCTATGAGTTTTTGCTCAGTCGCCAGGCCGAGAACGGCAGCTTCTCGGAGCATGGCGAGTTCTTCTACGGATCACAGCGTTCGGCCCTGACGATGACTGCCAACGCGCTGCTGGCCCTGCTGGAGCAACCGAAACCCAACCAGACGGCCATCGACAAGGCTGTCGCCTACTTGGATGCCCACTCCAACGAGAAGGATAGCGAGCAACTCTTGCCCCGGGCTCTGGCAACTTATGCTCTGCAGAAAGCCAAGTCCGCAAATGCCGCCAAGCATGTGGCTGCACTAAAAGCGCTGGCCAAGCACGAGGAGGATCGCACCTGGTGGACGGAGGATGATCAAAAGCTGCGCGCTGGCAAATGTGGTCGCTGGTGGTGCTGGATCTGGAGCCACGACATCGAGATCACCTCCTATGCGTTGCTCTCGCTGCTGGAATCGGAGCAGGAAACGCCCAACTCGCTGCTCGACTCGATCCGCTGGCTGGTGGCGCAGCGCAACAGCTTTGGTGGCTTTGCCTCCTCCCAGGATACTGTCGCCGGGCTGCAGGCCTTGATACAGTTCGCCAAAAAGTCCGGCTACGAGCCGGCCAGATGGGATGTAAGCGTATCCAATCACGGCCAGCGTGAAAAAACCGAGAAGCTCAGCCTGACGGAGGACAACGATTTGCTGCTGCAAACGGTCGAGTTCCCCCAGGGCACCAAATCGCTGTCCTACGAGGCCAAGGGCACGGGCGCCGCCCTGCTGCAGATCAGCTACCAGTACAACGTGGTCGAGAAGGAACCGAAGCCCAGCTTTAAGATTCAAGCGATTATTAAGCCCGAATCCCCGCCGGCCAAGCTGGAGTTGAGCGTGTGCGTCGAGTATGTGGAGGAGGGCAAGGCCAAGGCGTCCAATATGGCCATATTGGAGGTCTCGCTGCCGTCCGGCTACACTGCCGACGAGGAGAGCTTCAAGGATATTCAGGAAATCGAACGCGTCCGGGTAGGTTCCCAGCAAATAAACACTTTATAGACCTCTCTCTATCCCAAACTCTTGCAGCTGGTGGAAACCAAAAACGACGACTCCGTGGTCGTCATCTACTTCGAGAGCCTGCCCAGGGGCGAACTCAAGTGCCTGCCCATCGAGGCATTCAAGACGCATGCTGTGGCCAATCAGAAACCCGCCCCGATTGTCCTCTACGATTACTACGACACGAACAAGAAGGCCACGGAATATTACCAGGTCGAATCGAAGCTCTGCGATATCTGTGAGGGCGACGAATGCTCCGCCAAGTGTTGAACCCAATCCTTTAATTAATTGGATCTAAATGCATAAACGAATAAAAAACAAACTGTTGTGATTATAATATAAGAAGCAAGGATCGTTTATTGACGAGGCATTTTCATACTAAACTTATTTTTCGACCGATTCTTCCTAAAGAGCAACATGATATAGTTGTCGGATATGCCTCACATTCTCTATATACAAAACTGTTTGTGCTTACTGACTGACTGACTGACTGACTGACTGACTGACTGACTGATTGATTGGTGATCAAATCACAGTCCAAGCCGAAAGAGTTGGGAAGCTGAAGCCCGTTAAGATGGAAAATCCATTCCTATTTGTTGAAAATGTGGTTCAAGGATTTGGTGGGTTACGTTTCGCGCTCAAATTCATTTGCGAAGATCTATAGGAAAAGTCATTTGACACGTGTTTCACATTTTTGGGAAAATTCAAGCTTTCTCGGTGAAAAGTGCAATTCGAAGATTTTGTTGGCGTAGTTTTAAGTATTGTCCGATTTGCTTCAAACTTATTTTCAAAGCTTTCCATGAGAATATATTGAATACACGTGTTTCAGCGATTTGAGAAATTCCACCCGCAACAGTGGTAAATTGGCGGAAATTGTTTCAATATCATTTCCAAAGCTTTTTGAGAACATTGATGATGGGTTATGGTTCATTAAATAAATTAATATTAGATTTTTACGCGAATTATTTGGAGTACGTTGGCATTAATATATCTATTTCGGCTAAGACCCTATACGAGATGCCAAAAACAACCCGTATTTAAGCCATTTGTAAACATTCAAACGCACTTTGACCAAATCACGTTATATGGTTTACTATTTCCGAAAATTGTAAATTCATGTTGCCGCTAAAAAAAAAAGTGCAAGCCATGGTTCCATTGATCATACGGCAGCCTTATCGCCCGATATGTGTATATAAAATGTTTGTTTCGGGAGCGTATAATACAATGCCGATGTCCGTCCGATGCCGGGTCTAAGCATTATCATAGTACGTGCGATTTTGCAATACGATAAGGTTTCTAATGCCGAAGGCTGCGATCGAAATAGAAATAGTATCATTAATTCAACAAATAAGTGCTAGACATTTTTTATAAGTGGCTAAAATTGATGATGACTGTGGAACATTGGGACCAGAAAATACTCTCTAAGCGTGCGAGAGTCTAGACTCCAGTCGGTAGTGCACGACTAACAGATACTCTAACTTTTATATTTCCTCTGAGAGCGTCAAAAAATAATGAAAATAATGCTGACTGACTTCATTTGCTGCTCCTTGCTATTAGTTAATTTTCTTCCCTAGATTTCAGGCAAACTGGGAACTCAGAATCCAAAATGTTCCAGCTAGAAACTCATGTGATAAATGTATCTGGATAATTCTTGAGGTTCTTCTAAGTAATCCCACTCGTGAATCTCACGTCCCTTTGTAGGCAGATGATGTAAGGCTTTGCCTGGCATATCCTTACATGGCTTCCTATAATATGTTACAAGGCGATCTGAATGCCTTCAGTCCTCCTGTCAGGTTCATCTGTTAAATCTAAGCTGTTCCAAATGGAAGGCTTTCAGCAGATCCAGATGTAATTCTTATTTATAAAAAATAAATAGACTCTCAGGTTTTGACAGTGGGCAGAAAGGTCAGGAGCATTCTGGTTTTTGTCAGGCTATGGCTCGAGAACTTTGATAAGGTTCCCTATTACAATCCCCCCTAAAATATCCTCGAGCTCTTTGAGATCCAATCACTTTCTCTACCCTGTACAACTAAAAATCTATTGCAAATTTCTTCATTTTTTCAATGTTCATATATATTCTTAATTAAAATTATTTATTAATTTATATATTATTATTATTTTTTACTCATGTATAGCTTCGCTCGATTAACATCCTTCCCCTTAGCTATATAAAAATTACCTGCGAAAAGGTGCAAAGCTTAGATTTGATTGGGTTTACAGCTTTTAATTTTTCTGTATTTAAATAGGTTGAGACTCGTTTTGTCGATAATTAGTAAAAAAGGAGACTCTTAATATCCCATGTCTGAGCTATTTGGCCTTGACTTCGGCTCATGGAGGCACCAGACCAGGCAATAGACCATTTATAGAGACTGTTCCAGACTTCAGACTCCTGATGATCAATATTTATTCTTTAAATAATCGTTGCATAATATTTATTCACAAATTAACTTTTCTGTCCCAACTAGCATCGCCTAGACTAGTCTATTGTTATAGCTCTTTATCTGCAGACAACAAGCTTTCCAGGGTATTCGCTTCGGAATCTTCTCTTCGCATTAAAGCTTCTAATTATTTATATTTATCCTATTCAAACCGTGGACAGATAGCTTCACAGGGCAGATGTGACTTTATGGGGTCGGGTCAGGCTCAGACGAAACCAACCTACCCAGTTCAATGGGCACAGGGTATAAAAGTATGCTCGTAATCCACAATGGGTAACGTGCGGCCGGGCACAGAATCGAAATGAATTATCTGAAGTATTGGAATAATTATCTTGAAAGCTGAGCTGATGCATTTGGTGACCGATAAAGATGCTACCTGTTGATAAAGACCCAAAAGTAACCCACAAACGTATCGAAAACGTTTGCGATAACTAAATAGATGGTGTCCGATGCGAACGTGAGGGTGCTAAATTATATATATTATAATCCTTTAAGTTCTATGCATTTGATTGCTAAGCGCAATTTTACTGATACGCCAAATATAAAAGTAATTGTTGTCAATGACAAGTTAGAAACTGCCTGGCAGAGTGCTCGACTGGGAAATACCCTCTAAATAAGTCTGGAAATTTTTTATGAAATGCAATTTTCTTCTTAATATTATTATTATTTTTGTGTAAAATCTGATGAAATTAAATCAATTTCCCTGAAACTTTGAAATTAAATTATACACAAAAAATCAAGTTCTTTTAACTTTGATTTGGAGATATCGCTAAATCTGCTAATTCCGATATTGAATGAAGATTCAGTGCAGCTAAGCTGAATCGAATGTTAAAGCTAATAAGCAAAATATAGTATATATATATGTGCATATCTACTTTCCAGGTCGCATATACCCCCTTTGAAATTGGGCAATGGGTAAAGGTATAAAAAGGTTTCGCTATGCATAAAGAGAGTTCAAATTAGTTGACGGTTCCTTATTCGTGAATGCAGTAAGCAATGTGATACTGAGAGTTAATTAAATAAAAAACAGCTCCTGCAGCAATTAATATCCTGTAAAAAGTGCTCTTGAGCTGTGCCCTAAGAAATCTTCAAACTAGAAGAGATATTGATTGAGTGAAAGTTTATGGAATATTTGTAAGCAAATTTACAAGAAATTGCGAAAGTCTCTGCTGAGATCCAAGCGAGAAGCTGCTCAATCCAAAAAAAAAAATTCAATTGCTATCCTGCGGCTCCGAGCTAGTGCATCCAAAATGTCAGCTGAGGTAAGGCGAGCCAACTCGGCGACTGCACTGCAGCACTTCGAAGCCGGACTCAATGTGCTCAACCAGCTGTGCATTGGATTCGTCACAATTTGGATATGCTGGAACTGCCTGCGCACGGGGCTGGTGGGGATTCGGCTGCACGTCTGGCTGGCATCGTTCGGCTTTGTGTTCCTGATGGCCGAGGGCATGATGTGCTTCTACGATGGCAACTGGCTGACACTGCGCTACACGCGAAAAACCAAGACCGCGATTCATGTGGTGCTCCAGATACTTGGCGGCGGCATGGGCGTGGCCGGCTGCCTGGTCCAGCTCATACGCGACGACTGGAACTTTGGACCCACCATCCATTCCCGGCTGGGATTTGCAGCCTTTCTCCTGAGCCTGATCTCACTGCTGAGTGGAATAGTCGCTGTGCTGGCCCGCAGCCTGTCGCGAATTGTGTCTCCGCTGGCCAACAAAACGTTCCACGTGCTGCTCAGCCTGGCCACCTTTGTGATTGCCATGCTGGCCCAGTTCTACGGCTATACGCAGACGGGCATATTCAAGGGTCAGGGCAGCGATTTCGTGATCCTCATGCAAGTTGTGACCCTTGTCGCAATGGTCCTAACCTGCATCGCTCCGCTCAAGTCTCTATATCAAAAATGTGTTAGCTTTGCCAGCTGAGGCTAATTTCAATTTAGTTTAGTTTAACATATTATTATAAGTTTAGGCTATTGATAATATTACATAATAACGAACGATCCTCGTTATACATTAATAAATTATTAGATGTCATTAATAATCTACTATTAATTATTAGTTGAGAATGCGAAAAGCAATATGTTAATTAATTATTTTGGAGTTATCCTGAAGGCAGTTCCAGTTCTATTACAAACATTCTAGTTTGAGGCTAATACAAATTATGAAATTTCCAGGTCAGTCTATCTGTCCGTCCGTCCGTCCGTCCGTCCGTCCGTCCGTCCGTCCGTCCGTCCGTATGTATGAACGCAAGGATCTCAGAACCTATAAAAGCTAGAGAATGAAAGTTTAGATGTAGCTGCTCCTAGTGCCCGCGCAGATCGAGTTTGTTTCCTATAATCGATAACTTACTCAGTTTCCAAGCAATCGATAAAAATCGATATCCTGTTTTTTGGGCAATTTTGGTAAATAACAAGAGCTAGAGTCACCAAACTTGACAAATAAAATAGAATATATAAATGCATTTGATGTTGGAAGAAGATGGTTCAGGGTATCCCCTAGTCGGGAGCTCCCGACTAAAATTTCTTACTTGCTTGAATTATTTATTTTCCCGTACGGCCAGCTATGCGCCTATTCACAGCTAAGAAGCAAGGTATTAGTCGAGTTAATAGTGTTAAGTAGATAGGATAAAGAAGGAAAGGATGGGATAGGAAATCACCATAATTTAACCATAATAATAAAAATAATAATAATAATAATAATAATAATAATAATAATAATAATAATAATAATAATAATAATAATAATAATAATAATAATAATAATAATAATAATAATAATAATAATAATAATGATAATAACAATAATAATTATAATAATAATAATAATGATAATGATAATGATAATATCTCTGACATTTTTAAACGTGGTAACAAAAATTTCTACCCAACATGATACGAAAAATCAGATTCGCGGAGAATCCCGAAAGGGAATGCATTGCTTGTAGCCTGAATCATCGATTAATTTTAGAAGCTGGTATTTACGCATATCTCTGTTAAAAGCAGCTTCCTCGAAGATAATGGTGTTGATCAAATTAATGTAACAGGTTCGTGAATTTTTCTCTTTGTGCACCTGAATATCACGGTTGTTGCGATCTTCACATTCAGTTTGTTATACATTTTCATGTAGAATCTATAATCTTGTATACCTCCCCTTTTTGTAAAAAAAATAAACTGGTAAGCGCATGCAGTCGAGTTGGCTCGACTACAAAATCCCCTGCACAACTCAGTCAATGTAATTATTTGGTTTCTAAAAAAACGTGTTTCATTCAAAAATCAAAGAATAAACATGATAAACTCGTTTTGTGTAATGTTTAGGGTATATATACTTAAATAGCTCTAAATAGACTAAGTTCTTCGTTCTGATCAAGAATATATACAATACATATGGGGTCACATAACTAATATACCCTGTTCTAGACACTTTGAATTGGTGCAAGCTTATACGCTGCACCAAGGCATTTCTTTGTAATTCCCGAGAATTAAATAATGATTGGACTTGAATTGGATTGGATGTTATGCATAAGAGCAGAGTATTTCGATTGGGAAATGTGACGAAAATAGTGTATTAAAAAATTCGACTACTTATAATAGTTGCATACAGGGTATCGACTCGTCGGTACTCCAGACTAGGCAACACTTTAAGCAGCTTCCCCCGAGGAAATTAATACGCAATAAACAATATTCGCATTCACACACACACACACAAACATGTGCACAGATACGTGCACATGCATCTGCAGTTATGTGAATGTATTAGTTGTTGCGGCTTGTGGTCTACAACACAGTTACATGCCAAGCATATGTATGTGTGTGTGTGAGTGCGTATGTGAGATATATCCCGCTAATCACTCGAGCTTGTACGAAAAGTGAGATTAGTTGAATAATTTACGGCTAGCGAAGCAGTCAATGGGCGTATTTATGAGAGGCGCAAATAAATTATATTGAATTTAATCATATTGGGCCTACGATAATTGGAAAACCCGCTACGAAAATTGCGCCAATTTGAATGTGTAAAAATATGCCAGACTCGTAAAATAGTTGTTCCACGCAATTATCAGTCGCAGAGTTCGCATAGTTTATTGTTTGCGGCCAATAAATTAAACACGAAAAAAACATTATTGTGTATCAATCTGATAAGCGCAACGTACAAACTCAACAAGTAAGAGTGTAACCGACTAGCAGATACCCTGTAAATAGCTATATTAGTATGGCAAATGCATTGTTGTAGCTATTGTCCGCTTTTTACCAAATTGTCGGGATGACATAAATTAAGACACCTTTGCAAATGTGGAAGAACTGGGGGTAGCATCTCCTCCAAGCGGAGCAGATCTTTGGATCTGCGTAATGCCCACATACCAAATTTGTAGTTTCCAGCTTCAGGATACATATCGATGGGAAGACCCACAGACAGAGTTTTATATATGCCTTCTCGTAATGTCTCTGCTGCCATAACTACCCCTTTCACCCACTCATATGTACAGGGTATTTACAAACTTGACGAATAAACTCTGCTCGATTTTGGGCCACAATGAGGGAACATCTCCCGACGGTCATCAGTAGCCAGCAGAGAGTCGTCGACTACGGCAGCACGTCGAAAGCCAGCCTCAGTCCGGATCCGCAACCACGTGCCCAGCGTTTGGCTAACTTTGTGCTCGCCAGCGAATCTCCGCCGTCCGTTAAACGTTATTCGAGAATGCCGCACAATACGCTTAAGGGTGAATCCCAGCAGCCGCTCAAGCGGCTGGAATATCTGCTGAATGTGCTGAATCAGATGTGCATCGGATTCGTGACCATCTATATGTCGTATATTACGCTGCGCACGAACCTGGCAACAACTCATCTGCACGCCTGGCTGGTCACGATTGGCGTAAGGTTTTTGTGCCCGGCAAGCGAATGCATCATAACAGTTTCCCTCTTTGTGTGTGTCTACTGCAGTTCTCCTTCTTCATGGCCGAGGGCGTCATGGTGCACTATGGCGGCAATGTGCTGACCAACAGCTACAGGCGCAGCACTCAGACCACGATACACTGGGTCCTGCTGACCCTGGGCGGAGGCTGCGGTGCCGCCGGCGCCTTGATCAAGATGATTCAGAAGGGTTTCATGCTGCAGACCACGCACGGCCGTTTGGGTAAGTGAGCGCAGGTGGAGAGCATATGGAGCGACAGTCTTAAAGATCTGGTATTCCCCCTAGGCATAACCGCCTTTGTACTGTGCCTGCTGGCCATGAGCTCCGGACTGGCAGCTCTCTGCTCGACGCGCGTCAAGAAGCTGATCACGCCGCTTTTGAATAAGACTTTCCACAATTTCGTGGGCTTTGCCTGCTTTGTCATTGCCCTGGTCGCCCAGTATTACGGCTATCAGACGGGCTACTTTAAGGCACGCGTCGAAACGGACTTCCAAATCCTGATGAAGTGCCTGACGCTCGTCTCGCTCGTCCTCTCCAGCTATGGCCCCATCAAGGGACTCTATCATAAATTTAAGGCCATCTCGGGGCAGTACTAATCAAGAACTTATGCACCCCGAACTATAATTACGTACGGACTGGCCCCTGCCCTGAAAGAAATTCCCATAATTTCGTGAAATCCCCAATGAGACACTTTTGCACATTATGCCGGGCCAAGCAGGGCAGTTGGAATTCCGCCTCATTAAAAATTATTATTTTCAAATTCTAGATAAGGTTGTCGTGTCTCGGCCTCCGGCTGGGCACGTACGTCTACTAAACTTACGGATTTATTTTGTCAGATCCTTAGATAGTTAAGACCCTAATTTGATACGATTTGCTGTGAATCATTTGGAATTTAGATAGCAACATGTCAAAAATGACGTATGCCATAAAAACTGAAACTCTTTTGCGAGTGAGTCAGAACCAAAAATTTAAAAATTGAAAGAAAAAAAATACTACAAAAATTAAATGTACTCAAAGTGCTTGAAAATTGAGTTCGCTGCAATTATTTTTATATATTTCTAAAAAATTTACTATAATGTTTTTTTTTTATATATATTTTATGTAGTTCCAAGTTGATGGAAATAAAATAAATAAACATTTTTTATTTTAATTACAAAAATAATCAGCCTAAATACTCAAATGTTGATTCAAAAAATTAGGAAAAAAAACATGTCTTACGTGTTTGCTAATTAAAAAATATCCAAAAACCGATTAATCAACCGATTTTTTCTGGCAAAATTTTAGTCAGCAAATGTTAAAGAAGAAGATTTAGTAAAAGCCGCGTTTAAACATCATTTGGAATTAGTTTTTCTATATATTCTTTTATATACTCCTTTTTAGACTCTGACCAAGGCATCTACAAGAAATCCTTGCCAAAGACAAAAGTTACACACAATCTATTTTCTTAAAAGAATCAACTCCTAAAAAGTGTTTTTTTTTAAATCCAATACGTTTTATCCGACTATTTCTGTGAAAAGTTTATGATATAAATGTCCAAATGAAGAGATAAAATGAAAACATGAAAAACTTTTCACTTTCGAGTTAATTTCTTAATAAAGCAAATGTTATTAATTAAGAAGCTTTAGAGAATGTAACCTAAATCAAAAGAGAGATTTTGAAAATTAACTGAGACTAGACTCGCGTCAATGTCGTAAGCAAAGTTGAGCGCAGAATAAATAAACAATATAATATTAGACAAAGTACCGCACATCGATTAATTATTAATAATGAGTTGACGAAATTATTTTTTGACTTATAAAAACATGTGTCTATTTGAATTAATTTAATGGTTAACCACAGACATACCTTATACCTTTGTTTCCCAACTATAAATACATTTTCGTCAACTCATGTGGGGCTTATCTCAAAAACAAGCTGCCAATGAGATTAGCACAGGTAAACGATCGTCAATCGGAAATGAGAATTGTTGTTGTTTTTTTTTTAATTAAATCCAATATTTTCAGTTGTTGTACTTCTTGAGAAACACAGCAGTTCATTCAATAGCGATTCACATATAGTATATCCAGAAGTCAAGGCCGTTTGATAATATAATTGCCCGAATACGGACTCTAAAGTAAGATCATAAACAACATTCGAGTGTCCGGAAACGGTTAACATTCCGAAAGAAAACGATAACAGCATTTCAAAGAACGGTTACGTTATTCGATAACCGCTGAGGTCTATCGACCAAAAATCAACTCAAGTGTGTACACACTGCGACAAATTGATGGCGGTTTGTTGAATTTACCGTTACAAATTCAAACACAGACTGGAGACGCGAAGCTTAAAAAGCGACGCGTTTCTGTGTGTTTCTTTCAATTATTTGCATGCATTCCGATATCGCCCAATAGAGACAGATACTTCGCGGGCTTCAGGTCTTGTTAGGCTTCGTTAAAGTATAAAAAAACATCTTATTTCGAATGGTTAGATGGTTGACATTATGACATATTATTTTTTGTGCTTTTGAGTAAAGTTCCTTGGCCAGCAGGCAGATTAAAAGTGTTTCGATTTCCAGCCCTAATATTGACTTCATTTATTTCCAATTCGCATCAATTTCAATATCAGCCTCAAAGCATGCCACAATTTTTAAATATTGTATACAAATAACTTTGTTACAAGACATGAACAAATTCTCCTCTTGGGTCCTTTTTCTCTGTAAAGATGCGGGATGCATCCGCCATTTCTTTGCCCTCAAAAAGAAAACACCAGCATTTCAGATAGGCTACTTTAGCATAATGAATATGCAAAGTGCAGCTCGTTTTTATTGTAAAAACTCTCAATATAGTTCGTACGTAACTAGGTGCGATAAATAATACTTGGCGTGTTTGTTCTTTCGATCGTTGTGGATGTGTTTCGTGCATAAGTATAAAATAAATATAAACTCTAGTGTAAGGTAAAAAAATACATATTCGAAGTGAAGAATCTCAAAATCTCGATATAAGCAGCAACCTTGGGGGCTGCGACTCGGAATACAAAGGTTACACTTAACATTTAGTTAATAGGACGATTAATGACTACGACTAAAGCACATAGAAATTCGTAATACGCAATTTTAGACTTTGACATAACATGCATAACATGGGCAAGGCAAATCAATAGCTTGTTACAGATACTTGTCTATATAGAAGATATTCATTTTCGGTTTGCAATTTAAAGCTTTGTGCTGCGCCGAATGGCGAACGACATCAGGGCGTGCTCCAGCCGCATATGATAGGGCAGCTTGCGTTCGACGAAGAGCGGCTCATCTCCTCCAGCGCAGCACTGCGCCCGGCAGCACTCGCATTGCTCCTGGTCGCTGCCCTCCTCCTCGTCCTGCTGCAGCTCGCGCTCCAGCTCGAAGGCCTTCTTGGCTGCACGCTGCTCGAAACGCAAATAGAAAACGAAACAGACGAACAACATAAAAACGAGTGCGCACATGGCACCGCTGGCGATGCTGGCCTTCTCGAGCATGGGACGCGGCCGCTTGGGCAAATAGGAGCCATCGATTTCCTTGTACTCGCAGCGCTGGCCCATAAATCCGATGGCACACTCACAGCTGTAGACAGGCAGCTCAGCGATCTTCACAGCGAAACAGTGGGCATCGTTCAGACAGTACCAGGCATCAAAGTTCTCCGGGCACTTGTATGTCGGGAATGTTATGTTCGGCCTGGCCGTCGTCGTTGTTGTTGTTGTGGTTGTGCGCATTGTTGTGCTCGTCGTTGAAGGCGCCTGTGTTGGCGGCAGCGCAATGCCGGACATGGACGACGACGAGATCGATGGACGCGGCTTGGGCACCGTGCGGCTGGAGCATGCCTCAATTATGGCCGGACAGCCCAAGCAGCTAACCAGCAGCAGCAGCAGTGTCAGGCCCATTTTGAGCTTGTCGAATAGTCTAGTTGTGGTTATTATGCTGCTTGTGGAATGCATTTGCAGAATGTGGCTTGATACTATTTGGTATGCAACTTTGTTTGGTTTCTCTTAAAAACTTAAAATACAACTACAGTAATTGTATAAAAATAAAGATGAATAAAACAAGACTATCACAAAGTATTATTAAATCGTTATGCACAGCGAAGCGTCGTCAAAGGATCTTTGGAATTCTTTTCTTTTATCAGACAGTAGCTGCATCTACAAATGCATCAGAATCGGAATCAGAATCAGAATCAGAATCTGTGTGTGTGTGCGAGTGTTTGGAACAGCGTATCTGTGGAAAAGATACAAACACATTAATAAATACGACAGAATATTAGTTAATGTACTTAAGCCCATATTTATAAATAATTAAAATATATTTATCTAAGGATATATTTTAGGAAAATAATTGATACATATTCAGGGACAATTTATTCACATTTCAGACACGAATTCACTGTAATTTTGTTATATTAAATCGATTTGTTTTTCGTGTTGTTTTCCGTTGATTATCCTAGCTCATCAAAGCTGGCTGTGATATGCGTCGGGTATCCATATCACAACCACTTGATGAGGCTTAGATAAGCAACATCAAAATTCATTTGATGCAGTCGGTTTTTTCTTGTTTTGAAGCCCAAATAATGTTTCCGATTCCAGCCCATTCCAAATTCCATTCCTAACTGGGCTTGATGTAGGTGCAAGGTACGTTATGAATTGATTTTATTGATTGACTGATTGATTGATTGATTGATCGATCGATTGATGTACGTGACATTACGCTAAGCTCATCAAAGCTGGCTGTGATATGCGCGCAAAGCTTTCAAATGCATTTCACAACCACTTTGAGAGCGCAGCATGAATGTGCCAATCTTATGGTAAGAAGAAGACTGATGCATGTGTGGGATAGATAAACAGTTAGATAGACATTTAAAGGGATCAACAGAGTGGGGGAGAGGGTTTGGTTGGTGTGTTAATTTTGTTCAATGATAAATGTAATGAAAATTGCGCCGTGCTTATTATTAATATGTAAATGTTATTAGTTTTAATCAATTTATTTTTGATGAATGTTTTTGTTTTTGTTTTTGTGCTGAGCATCGTGTCGCTCCTCAAAGCTGGCTGTGATATGAGTAGGCATAAAAAGGCAAACATTTCACAACCACTTTGAAGAATGACACAATTCTCTTTCTCTCTCTCTCGCTCGCTCGCTCGCTCTTCCTCACTCAGCGCTGTGCAATGCACATGCGCACACACTCTCTGTCCTCTCGCTCTTTCACACATACTGCTGCTGCTGCTGCTCAATTGGTACTCTTACTTTGTTGTTCCGCTTTATATCTTACCACCGGCTTTCGTTTTGTCGCCACGCGTATTAAAAAAAAAAAAAAAACAATTTATAATAATAACAGAACATGTTACTGTTAGTTTTGTTGACGACGCGATGATGGGGAACGTTGATTTTTGCTGTAGTACGCAAATCTGAATGGAGTCGTCGAACGTTGTGAATTGTGCAAAATGAATGAAAGCAAATTTAGCATACGCTATTTATTTGGCGATAATAATACATTTACAAACGACAACATTTAAAGTAAACAATTAAAATGATAATATAATACGATCAATGTACGCTAAACGCCGCCATTAAAAATAAACAATCGCTGTATGTACATGTGTATGTCACACTCACACATACGCCTTAACACACACATAAGCACAGCCTATCAAAAAAAAAAAAAAAAAAACATCACTTGGCGCGCGCATAACACCCAGACAGCCAATGTTGCCACATGTCGTACGAAAAAAAGTACCAAAACTGGTACTTATTCGGTGCAGCGGTAAATTGGACATTATGCTTACAAAACGGCAAATGTTCGATCTAGTTGTAACTAATACAAATGTAAATATATACGCAACATAACAACAATAAACAATTTCGAAAATCAGAAAATATACATTTAACGGTATACATATACTGCATATGTACATGTAAAATATCATTCTTCGAATTTGGTACATTTCCTCTCAATCTTTGTACCATAGACTTTATAAGAACGACAATCGTCTCAATCGAATGTATTTATGAATTATAAGCATATACTTATATATATATATACAATATTTACGTTAATTGTGGCGCCGACACCAAACACGTCAATTTGTCGCCAATTTTGTGATAACGATAACAAGCTCATTGTTAATAAATGGACATTAAGAAATTGTATACTTAAACAACATCAACAAAACAAAGAAAAGTAAACGCAATTAAAAAAATGCACAAATTTGAGATATTGTTGTCTGTGCGCTTCTTGATTGACAAACGCGTCGCGTTTGTCGTTCTGCCACCAATTTGCGATTATTAAAATTTCCGTTTGAACAATTTAAAATCCGCATGCTTCGCTGTGGTTGGATTTATTAGTGTTGCGACAGGAAGTAAACGGAAGCCGCACAAACTACAAATTGAATTGCCATCAGAATTTGCGTTTGAAATTACGCGCGCGTAGGTCAAGAGCAGCTGCTACTCTTTTTGCCTATTACTAATAATAACAAAAATAAATATCATTGTGGCCACAACTTGTAAGAAATGTTGCTAATAGACAGCATTTATTTATCTATGTACGTGCAGGACATAAACCGCAAAAACACCAAACAACCTAAACAATAACGGAAAGACAAAAAAAAAAAAAAACAAATTGTGTGCATACATACATACATGACGGCACAGGCACAGCAGAAAAAAAAAAAGAAAAAAAAAAAAGAACATCAACAACAATGACACCCGCTAATATACAACATGTATCTGTAGCGGCAGCGTCTGCGGCTCGGGTCGTTGCCGTTTAACTGCTTCTCTCTTTCTGTTTCTCTCTCACTCTCTCGCTCGCTCTGTCTTTCGCTTTCTCTATGTTTTTATGCTGCTGTGTTTTTTGTTGTTGCTGTAGTTTTCATGTTGCTTTATGCTGTTTCATTCTGGGCGTCGCTGCTGCACGAGTTCGTTGCTCGTTGTATGCGAGCATGTGTGTGCGTTTGCGTGTTTACAAAACTGTAAGAAAAGCGGAGTGTGTGAAAACTATGATTAACGCGGAATTCTACCGCAACGAGACATCAACAGAAACAGACACAGACACACACACGCACACACCACACCTAACCACAGAATCATATTTGTGTTTTGCTGCTGCCGTTTCTAAAATCTTACCGGTTTTTTCTTCTTTTTTTTGCGTAAAAACAACGCGCAAAAAACAAGTCCTACTAGTTTCTGTTGTTGAATGTGTGCAAACGAGACAGAAATGTCTCCACTTAGTTGCGACAACAACCAATTTCGAGGTGTGTTTGATAGGGCGTATGTTTGTGTCTGCATGGGTGTGTGTGTGTGTGCGTGAGAGTTCAAGTGCATGCGCCTGTGTGTGTGTTTATGTCTACACTTCGCCGTGTAGGGAGAGTATATATACACATATTTTTTCTTTTTAGCTACTCGTTTGTGTATGTGTATATGTATGCGCGCGGGAATGTTGTCAAGAATTCTAAGAATTTGGCTCAAACAATCGGGGAGCGGGCAATAGCACGAGTATAAATTATGACAAATAATTGACACTACGAATACTTCAATATTTCGAAATGCTTTTGTCGAATTAAACAAGCGTATAAAGTATACTTTAAATTATAAACAAGTAAACGCAATACATGTGACACGATTTTACGAATAAAGAGTTTTTGAGAACATTTTTAAATCACTTTTATTAACTAAACTTTCATAAACATATTTTTATATTCATTGATTACCAAACAATAAATCTATAAGAGAAATTTGAAAAACAAAATCACTTGGCATAAAGCCGAACCGACGCCGCCAACAGCAGCCCAGAAAACACGACCGCATCGCAAACGCTGTGAAAGACAACTGCACAAAACGTAGCCAACGAAGGCAAAGAGCCAAAGCAGAGCGTGGCCAGACTGCTTAAATGAGAGACCAAAGTAGACGCCAACGCTGTTTTCTTTTTCTCTCCGTATTTGTATGTGTTTATTGTCGGCGGCTCGTACACACACAGCACAAATGCGGCAAAATAGCATAAATAACAACAACAACATACGAGTTGGGGTCTGTTGTTTTTGTTTTGGTGTTGCCAGAACGTTTCGCACGCTATAGTAGGATCAACATGTTGACGCGCCGCCACCGACAAGCTTGGAGGAGTAAAAGCACACAAACAAGAAGCGACGCAGCGCGGCGGTAAATAGCAGGTAGACAAACGGGACGAACAGGATGGTAGCCAGACTCCGACGACAACATTTTCTGCAGCTACTTGGAGCTTGTTTTGGTCAATTCGTAGAAATCTGGTCGATGCGCAGGCGCGCACGTAAACAACATTCTTTAAGGCATTGCATTGGGTCTGGGGGGCTTTTTTTTTTTTTTTAATTTGTACGCGCCAAAACGAAACGAGGCCGTTTACGCGCGCCAAGGATGTCGATGTTGCCAGATAGTCGCAATTATTGTTTCGAAATAATGCCTTCATTTCAAGATTTTCAAATTGTTTTGTCGTTAGAAACATTCCACCGAAATGCCACGAACAAGAAATATTATTTTGTACATTTCTGACACCTGTCTGATCGGTATCCGCAAGATTTACAAGAGAACTAGTAGTAATTGCACTTGTTGTGCGCATTGAACCTGAGCTAAACAAACGCACGCAATGCAGCTGAGTAGAAACATTTATTTGAAGTGCCTACAAAAAATCAATAAAATTATGCTGCAAGCATTTAGCGCCACGCACACAAACAATCAAGCTCATCGTAGATTGGCATTGACGGTAAAAGGTCATGTGAAAAAGTTGCCAATTTGAGATTGGGGCTGGGTCGTCCAGTCTGGGTCGCGAGACGGTTGTTTGACTAGACAGCCAATGCAAATTGTAACGGTAATCATTAGACGAACACACACAGACACAGGCATTCACTACACTCGCGCTCTCTCGCTTTATTTGCATGCTGCTCTCTATGTAGAGTTCGACGGCCTTCTTACGTAAAGACAGCAAAAACAACACAACGCGCAGCGGCACTTTGCTTCTTTCTAATAAGCAAACAAAGGGGAGCCGGGAGGATGCCGGCGTTGCCACATCGCCCGAGACAGAAAACTCGTTTTTGTCCGCACTCTTGCCTGTCTTTGCAACTGTACAAGAACAAAACAAACTACAACAACAACAAAACATACCGCGCAGACGCCAAACGAACGCTCCCCGTTGAACTGTCCGTCTGTTCGTCGGTCGTTTTAGCCCGCCCGTCTCGCTGTGTGTGTATATATATACATATATATATGTGTCTGTGTGTGTGTGCGTGTGTGTGTGTGCGAACAATTTTTATTTTTCTGAATGTAAAGGAAGTGGCACGTACTGTACATAGCGCTCCGCCGCTGCCTGCTGCTGCGGCTGCTACCGACAAGGGATCAAACTATGGAGTGAGAAAAAAAATACAGACGACAACGACCGACGCTATAGTGGTGGTGGTGGCAAGCTAAGACGACCTGAGCATGGGGCCGAAGCTGACGGCGGACGGGTGTGTGCAGCATACCTACTATAAACAGGAAATGGAATTTACACACACATATAAACACACACACACACGCACAGCGGCAAATTGTTGATGAGCGTACAAGCGGACGTGCTGCTTAATTGACAAATGGGCACAAGAGAGAGTGGCTGAGCCTGAGAGAGATGGAGAGAACGGACAAAGTTGATTGAAATCAATAGTCACCGTACAAGTGTTTGTATGTACGTATGTATGTATGCCTGACAGCGCGAGGAATGTGTGAAAAAACGCGGCCAATGACGGCAACGGCAATCAAACGACGTTCGCTGCCGCCTATACTATGTTAAATTCTGGAATGTCCAAGTATCTTCTGGCCGCGTGGAGACTTTTACGTTGCCGACGCGTTTACGTCTTTGCACCTGACACGCGCAGGCGGAGGCACACCCTGTACCCAAAAACACCAGCAACTGTCTTCATACTGACTCTACCGTTGTTTGGATGCACATTTGCAATTATTACCGATTGCACAATTAGCACCGTTGAATGCTTATAAAAAATGCATAATCGCATACTAGCGTACATGTATAACTCAAGCATTTCTGCGCAATGGCAGCGTAATTGTAGTTGTGCAAACGTACTACTTGTGCGTGTAGTTTTTACTCGAAAAAGAGCAATGAATGAAATTTCGTTGTTTTCTGTTAATACAGTCGCTCACACACACACCCACACACATACATACAACACATACATATGAGTATATTTGGAGCAAGAGAGAAAGTCTACAATACGTCGAGACAGCGAACGCGTTGCCAACTGCATAGACAAATTGTTTACTTTTCGCTTGCCGGCTACGAACACAAAGTGGTTTTATTAAACGGAGCCAAAACACAAAAATATGCAAAACAAAAAAAGAAATAAATAGATAAAACAATTACTACAATAAATGGAGGTTACGGCCGGTGCCGCGCACTAACCTACATTAATGTAAGACAAAATGTGGCTGCATAGCGCAAGTAGTTGGCAACGCCACAAACTAGTTTTTTTTTACGCGCTGCCTCGGAAGTCTCCACGTTGAGCGACGCATGGTGAGTGCAGTGTGTGTGTAAAGGAGATAGCTATTGAAAAAAAAAACCCGACGCATGTGTATGTACATACGAAACAAAATTTACTGCTGCTTGCGGTGCCTTATGCAGGGGCTACACACATACACAGCACACGCACACATTAATAAGCAATCGTATTTTGCGTACTGCGTAAAAATGGCCGAAACATTTTCCTTGACGGCCAATTGTCACAAACCAAGCATTTTTATTTAACAATTACTTTATACTCGAACTCTGCCGATTTCAATAAACTTACATTTGGTGTTTGCAATAGCCATTTAAGCTCTCGCCGCCTTAAAAATACTTCTTACATACTTTGCACACACGCGCACATTTTGTTTTACTAATACTGTTTAATATTCGAGTTTCTCTCGTAGTTCGAAATAATGAAAGACACTCTTCTTGTTTTTTTTTTTAATACATCCGTGTAGTTTGTACAATCGAAAAATATATCGTTTTTCTTTTGCTCATCACCAATGTAAACGCCGATAACCATAGATTGTAAGGCATTACCAGCACAAACAAGAAAATATAGTCACATATTTAAAAAATCGATATATGCATATATCGACGCTAGCAACGTCTCCCGCATTTTTCATTTCAAACACAACAGCGCATTACTAAATACTTCAAATTGAATAGAAAATTAAATCAACGAGCTATGGGCACAAAAGCTACTAAAATGGAGGGCAGCTACTTGCCCGACACACCAACACTAAACAGATTGCGCATTGCAGGTGCTGCTGTTCCGCAACAATCAATCAAGATGTCGACTTCTCCTTGCCGTGACAACAATTCTCTGCTCGATCCACGCTCACCAAACATCTGCCGCACGCCTCTAAATGTAAGTAAACTAGATATAATATTCTATCTTATTAATTGGGCTTTACTATAGCTATTGCCAACTCAGCCAACCGTAAGTCAGATGCCCCCGCAGCTGGCATCTACTGGCGTTGGCAGCGAAAATACTTTTACGCAGCTGCGCAAGCGCTTGCTTAAAGGCTTTTCGTTGAATGATCCACGTTCGCCACAGCTGAATCGCACGCCTCTTATGCTCGATGCGGCAATTGATCGCACGCTCAACATGGATGACACCTTTTCCGATCTATTTGTGGAGACGCGGGCACCAGCCCCTGCTCCAGTTGTGCCCGCTGCCGAGCCACCGCATCTGAGCCACAATAACAGCTCAGTGGAGATAGTGTCGCTGCCGTACGATGAAGAGGAGACAATGCCCTGCGAAATGATGCTGCAGCGTACGCCGCCTTTGCAGAGCCACGATCCGCGCTCGCCCAGCGTCGGTGTTGAGCGCACGCCCATCATTTTCTGCGACGATGATGAAACTGAGGCGCGCGATACGCAAATGCTTGAGGAGATCCTAGAAACGCTGACACTTAATCTCAGCAACGAGAGCAGCATGGCCTCGTTTGTAAGTGCCTCTGCAGAGATGACGCTGGATGAACCGCAGCCACAGGAACAGGCACAGGAACAGCCTCAACTACAGCCTCGCCCGCCGGCCAACAAACATTTGGAACGTGTGCGTTTGGGCAACAAGCGACGCGTTGCGCCACGCAAGCCGGCACGTGCCAGCAAGCCCAAGATTTATGTGGATGCGCCTGAGGGCCTGACGAGCACACCGAAGAGTACGCCCGATTCGGCACATCGCACACAACGCACGCCCCTGAGCTGTGTCAACAAGAACCGCATCCATTTGCGTTCACGTTCGGTGGAGAAGGATCTACGCAAGCCGCAGCTGCAGCTGCCGCTGCAAAGCTTTGATGATCAGCTCAATCCCAGCGAGCGGCTCAATGTGCCCAGTCTACGCCTGCTCATGTCGGCCGACTATGATGGATAGTGTTAATCATCTTTACTAATCATCTTTAGTAAATTAATTGCCTTCATTATCATTTACACAGCCCACCAATCAATTACAGTTTTAAGTGCATACAAATATATATTATAAAAGGATTGCTATAAAAAATATTCTTGCAATGTTAAGGCCACAGAATTAGCTAAGCTTGAGCATAGCCATCAGTTGATCGATTATATGCTCTCCGCTCTCCTCGTCCCTGTCGTTTGCCAGCACAAAGTCAAAGGCGCTGTCATCCAAATCACATTCGGAGGGTTCATCGTCGACGCCGGCGGTAAACTTCCAGCCCCTCGCCTTACGCGTTTCCGGCAGCGAAGTCAGGCGCAGTGTCTCCACCATATCGGGGCCGTAGGTCTCGCGAAACCAGCGTATGTCGTTCTTGCGGCGGATATCGCTGACAATGACGTAGTCTACATTTTGCACGGCCGCCTGCTGCATGGCCGCACGGCAGAAGAAGCCGTAATCGCGCCTGCGCACCTCATCGCTCCAAATGATCATGTCGCGCCTATATTGCTCCTTGTAAGGCCCATCGCTGAGCATGGCGTTAATATCCAGCTGCAGCTTGCGGGCCCATTCCCGCTTGATGGGCTCTGAGATGCGTACGATCAGGGCCCGGTCGGCTAACCTGTTTGAGGTGTTATAAGTCCTAAAATTTCATGCATTCCTTGCCAATACTCACCGTTTTTGTAGCCGCTCTGAAATGAAATCCTTGCCGCATTTGCGTTTTCCACTAATAAGTATTATTTTTTGCATAATCTCAATTAACAACTTTCTCTTTTCGCTGCGCTCACAAAACACTCGGTGCCCCACAGAGCTGGCTGTTTATTTGCGTGTGACTTAGCGCCAAAGGCATTATGAGTTGTTTATTCCATTGTACTTATGTTAATTTTGATCTCGGACTGATTAAATTTAAATTGTTTACAATTGCTTTTTAGCTGCTGCAGCTGACGACGAAACTTATCGTTACGCCACAATCTTTCGATAACGATAATTGGCAGCGGACCAGTTTGAAAGCTGCGCCCAAGTCGGGTACGCTGCTAAAAAAACAAGCGGCAATCGAACAAAAAATCGATTGGAGCAAATCGATAAGATTAATGCACACTTTCAAAAATCCATAATCGGCAAAACACAAGCTATGCAATTTGGGTTACATATACAACTGTTTATTTGTACAATAACAAAATATTCATTTCATGCAAAAGTGTAGATTCTGTCCATTTTATTTTTATCTATAGTACTGCGCTTGCTGCCAGTTGCTGCTTGTGCTGCTCGCCGTATTGCCGATCTCGTAGCCGCTTGTCAGCTGGGCGGAATTGCCTATATTCATGTTGCTGCCTGTTCCTGCAGCTGTTCCGACACCAGATGCACTGCCACCGCTCGCTGCACAATTTGAGCCAACTACCGTGCTGCCGGGAGTAGCGCCCGGTGTGCCTCCAGCACTACCAAATGTGGCTAACACGCTGCTGTAGTAGGAAGCATCTGCCACAGACTCGGACTGATGTGTGCCCTTCTTAAGGGTCTGATGCAGCGAGGCTTTGCCCTGATGACAGTCCTGGGCGTTCGCATTGTTGATGCGCGCTAAATTGGCCTGCGTCAGTGTCGAGTGCGTGTGGACGGCGGTTCGGTCAGACGATCCTGGTGGAGGTATTGAGCCAATGCTGCCGACCGAACCGCGCGCCGTTGAGCGTTGCTGCATAAGGACAGCAGCAGCGGAGGAGGTGGCAGAGGGTTCGGATAGCTGCAAGGGCAAGCATTAGACAGGGAGCATAGTTAGGAGCCATAGCAACTACTCGCCTTGCGCTGCTTATGCAACTCCAGGCCGCTCATTTCCGTCAGCTTTGGCTCAACGCCCGAGGATGTAGTCAGCGGCGGCTGTGCCACGTGCCTGTGATTGATGTGCGCCTGCAGATCGCGCTGTGATAAATACGTGCGGCGACAGCCAGTGCTGCCGTATCGACTGCCACCGTGCGTGCACATAAAGACAGTGCCCAAGCCAGATTGCTCCACGCGCAGGACCTTATCATTGCAGCGCGGACAGCTCTTGATGGGCTCGGCCCGGGCGCATTTTAGGCAGAACACATGCTTGCAGGGTATCATGCGGCCATAGACGAGTATTGGCTTGTCGCACTGGTCGCAGCAGTGTATCATCGGGTTAAGCACCTTCTCGCCAATGAGGCTTACTTTGTGGTTCCACTTTAGGCGCAGCATTGGCTCCGGTGGGCCGCGCGACAGTGTCGTAAACGTGGGCGCCTCCAGCTGTGATATATCTGCTTCCATATCAACTATAAGATCGTGAAACTAAGTGCATTTCCAGTTAATCGACAAATATAAAATCTCACTTGTTTGTGGCAGCACCTGTGGCACCTGTGCTACCTGCTGCTGCTGCTGCTGAGGCGGCGGCAGTGATTGTGGCGGCGTCCTGTCCTCAATGGGAGTTGCTTGCTCTTCGGCTACTGTTGCTGCCTCTATTTCGTTTTCTTTGTCCAAATCTTGCATAACAGCATCTTCTATATGTTCCATGCTGGTTGGACTGTCTTCCACTGCCCCGTTGCTTGACGCCGCGGCAATTGCAACGCCAACTCCACTTTCGTATATGTCCAGCGCACTGCCAGTCTCATCAATTTTCTTACCGCGGCCTCGTCCACGACCACGTCCTCGGCCACGTGCACGTGAACCACGACCACGGCCTCGACCGCGTTTTACTTCATCATTGTCCATTTTAAACTTATACAAATATTAATTATTTCAGATATTTATTTTCTTTGCTGCTGCCGCTGTTGCTGGTCTTTCGACGATTAGCCGATTATTTTTCTTTGTGCATTTTCGATAAGACAGCAGCAAACTTTGTAGGGCTGTATTTATATATCGATAACAAAAATCTATCCGTTATTTTGCAAAAATATATATATTTTTTAATCGAAGTTCACATTATTTCTTGTTAATTACACAGGTCATAAAAATAAATTATAAAATTTTGACAAATCTGAAGTCTAAAGAATATATCAGTAAACTGATTATGCACTTAGCTTAAATTCCAATAATCAATCTAGAGATCTCTTTTCATAGCGGGGATGGTTGCAAGAATCTGCTTAACATCAGCATGGATCGCTGTTATAAGAATTCAAATAATATTCATTACTATAAAACATGGGCAAACATTTCCGACCTGCGTCTGGCTATTTTATATTTTTATTTTTTCCCAACAGTTGCATCTGCAACAAACATCTCATAAAGGCGTCGGTAAAGTAATCTGTGCCTTTCTCCTCAAATATTTTTAAATGAGTAAGTTTCAAAAAAATTTAAAAGTAATTGATAATAATTTTTATGCAACTAAATAACAATAATAATAAGAAAAAATAAAATATATGAAAAAAAAAATGTAAATGTAATGTAAAATTTAAGAGCTATGTTAACTTGTGGTTCAGTGAGCTTGTTCACTTAACGAATCGTGCTCTGAAATGTTTATGCTAACCGTTAATGCTATGTTAATGAATTACTCTTGAACTTATATAGGCCATTGTTTAAATTAAAAATGTTGTAAATATTTACAAATTCAGCTATAATCGATTT